AGCAGTTACAAACACAAATCGTTAATTATAGCATTGGTTTTACCAAATTATTTCGAGCCCAAGTCAGATTTAAAAAATGTAGATTGATTTAAGCAAACCGTTTCATAGTGGTACGTTTTTATTTTGTAAAGCCTTGCCCTCTTTCTTTGCATATGACTTTGAGTGGGCATTATGCTAATTTTTCAAATTGCTATGTAGACGTTTGTGGAAGTAATATCTAGACTTCAGTCTTTTGTTTAAGCGGTGTTCTCTGTTAGAGAGAATAAATCCCTTTTGTGGGGACCTTATACATTATTATGCCCTAATAGACACATTACACATTAAAGGAAAATATTAAAACGCATTAAGTGAAAGTGACGTGACATGTGGCCAAGTACAGTTACCCATACTAGGAATTAGTGCTCTGCGTTTAACCCATCGTAAGTGCACACACACAGCAGTGAACATAAACCCGGAGCAGTAAGCAGCCATTTATGATGCGGCGCCCGGGGAGCAGTTGGGGGTTCGGTGCCTCGCTCAAGGGGCCACCTCAGTCGTGGTATTGAAGGTGGAAAAGAGCACTGTACATTCACTCCCCCCACCTACAATCCCTGCTGGACTTGAGACTCGAATTCGCAACCTTTGAGCTAACTATTAGGCCATGACTTCCCAGACTTAAATGGCCTCTTTAGGAGTGTATAAACAAATAATAACAGTTATTCATGACTGAAGTCGCCTAATAATTTCCTGCTCCTCTACAGCATGTAACTAAATCTAATGAAAGTGGCAAAATCTCCAAAATATCTTGAATTCATTTGCCTGATGGACTTCTACTGTTGCAGGCATTCTTGACCAAGGTGAAGGAGTGCTCATCATATTCGAAGAGCCCCCTGTGGACAAAACTTACGAGGCAGCTCTAGAAACCATACAGAACATGAGCAAAGTTGTGGATTCACTGTACAACAAGGCTAAGAAGTTAACATAGGTGAGGAACTTTAAAAAATAAAATGCATACACAAATATTTTGCTCTCTAAACATCCATGTTTGTTATGAAATATGAGTAAATGTTTATCTGTAATCTGAATCTGTTTGATTTTCTAAGTGTATCTTCATGTTTCTTTCCCGCAGAGTAAGCGTCAGAGGCTGCTACTGTGTGAAATGGTTGTATGCGTGTGAGTTTGCCTGTGTGTATGCGTGTATGGCCAACATGTGGAACTTTTTTTCTCACAGTAAAAAGGGACAACATTGAGCAAGATCTACTTGTTCCCCAGTTGAGAGTTTTTAATGTTTTCTTTCAAATGGACAATTTCATCTTTCTGATCCTCTGAATTTTTGTTCTTCTCTGTATCTCTCAACAGCCAACACAGGCCATCAGGGAATGTTGTACAACTACAATAAAATCCTAAAATGTCATATAGAACTGTATAGCTCTTCTACATTGAAAGTTTTTTAATTACAGCAACTTTGTGATACAGACTCTTGGGTTTCGGTTATCTGCGGTTCATCGGTTGTTTGCAGTATTGCATATCTTTTTCCTTTTTTCTTCATTTTATGGATGCACATAAATGAAATGATGCACATAAATCTAAATGATTGTTATAGATGAGAGATTCAAAAGAACTTGGCTTCGGTCCTGGAGGGCCGGTGTCCTGCAGAGTTTAGCTCCAACTTGCCTCAACCCACCTGCCTTCAAGTTTCTAGTATGCCTAGTAAGAGCTTGATTAGCTGGTTCAGGTGTGTTTAATTGGGGTTGGAGCTAAACTCTTCAGGACACCGGCCCTCCAGGACCGAGTTTGGGCACCCCTGGTACAGAGCAGGGATCCTCAAATCTGGCCCACGAGATCCACTTTCCTGCAGAGTTTAGCTCTAACCCTAATCAAACACACCTGAGCATGCTAATCAGTGTCTTCAGGATCATTAGAAAAACACAGGTGGGTGAGTGTGATCAGGGTTGGAGCTAAACTCTGCAGCGCATTGGCCCTCCAGGGCAAGATTTGAAGAGCCCTGGTATAGAGTATATGAGCCCAACAGTATCTCATTTATATTGCTTTGAAGTGTGATTACAGACCTCCCCACTAGATGGCACACGCTCGTAGGACTTATAGGGGAAGCTTGGGTTGTCCTTCTTCGGCTCCGGCTCCGGTTCAGCTTATCTTCCGCTGACAGGAAGTGGCGGGTCCTTTTCCGCAGACTCCAACATGGTGAGTGCATTTCAATCATGATAGCCTCCCAAAGTAATCCACAATCATCGACGTTTTAAAAGAGCTGACTTTTCCAGTCCTGTTCCAAATGCTGCTCTTTCACCCCATCGAAGATGAACAACACACAAGTTGTCCCAAAAAAAGCGTAGATGTTATGGTTTAAATGTCCCTTAGCTCAATAGCTCAGCGGTTAAGGGCACTCACTGTTTCGTGGTGGTGCAATGATAGTTTTTAAACTGGTTCAGTGGTTTTAATACTTGTTAAATCAATAAAACACGATATTTCTATAAAGCGTTGTTTAAATAGCACGCTACAGTGTTATTGTATTGAAATGGCTGGAAAGAATGTGAAGGCCGCGGCCGGCCGATTTGTTGT